CTGTAATCGCGAGGTATAACTGTCTTGACTGGAAAACGGCAGATTGAGAACAAATTTTGTGGCACGTCTTTGAACTTTTTCCAATCTTGCAATTAGGTTGATGGACTATGGCGACCACATCTGGATGGCATATCCTAAGTGAGGGCGTACTAATGTTAAATACAATGCCCTCCTCACGCTGGTGTTTTGAATGAACCGTGCGTTCCGTCTGATATAACCTACCAACTTGTTAGCACGGGAAGATTGTTCTACTACTTGATTATTCCAGGTGAGATCAGTTGACATCCAGACGCCAAGATCTCGTTCCGATTTTGTTATTTCTAGAGTTTCACCCTTCATCTTGTATGTAGTCACCACTGGCTTCGTTTTACGAGTGATAGACAGCGACCGACATTTACTTTGATTGAAGGGGAGACCGGAAGTCGAAGACCAGGATTCTAAGTTGGATAAGTCCTGTTGGAGTAATTTCGTATCGTTTATTGATGCGATAGACTTAAATATTTTCGCATCATCTGCGAACATAGCGACTTGACTGGATTTGACGAGACCGGGTAGGTCATGAACATATAAGAGGAATAATATGGGACCTAGTATGGAGCCTTGAGGTACCCCAGAGGTTACAGGTAAGGTGTTAGATGTAGCACCGAGGGCGGTAATGCGCTGTCGCCGATTAGACAAGTAGGACCGGAACCATTGTAGTAGGCCACCTCCAAATCCAAGCTTGCTAAGTTTGGAAAGCAGCAGCTCATGATTAACTTTATCGAAGGCTTTAGACATGTCTAAATAGGTCACGTCTATTTGATTACCACTATCCAGGAGGGAGCTGATGTTATCTAGTGCTTCGATAAGGTTGGTTGTACATGACTTTCCCGTGAAAAACCCATGTTGACTACTGTGGACTAGCCGGTGGAGATGGCATTTAATGTTGTTAAGTACGCATCGTTCTAAGACTTTGGACACTGGGTAGTAAAGATATAGGTATTTTCCATTGTTTTGGGACATTCTGATCTTTACCAAAAATGTGAACTCTCTGAACTCATTTCTCAGCTCTTCTTCCTCGCTCCGTATTCTTAATACTTAAGACATGATATCGATCTGCCACGAAATCTAAACGCGTGCAATTCCATTGCCTTGCTAGCTTGTTGAGACTGTTCAAGATAGCATCTGCGAGTTCTCCAAACGTTTTCCACTTTCCTTTAATGGACTGAACAACTGCCACACCAGTAGTAATATAGGGGCCGATCGGGCCGGATTTTTGAGGTGGTGGATGAGGTGGTGTGAGGTGGTGGAGTGTGAGGTGGTGGAGTTTTGAGGTGGTGGGTGTCCACCACCTCATTTATAATTAATACTCGTACAATTGAGGAGGAGTAATGACGTCACTCATTAACATACGTCATAATTATATGCAATGACGTCAAGCGGGCAGGTTTAAGCGCGATCGGGCAAAATTTGCTGACTACACATTTTTTAGCGTCCCTCCACGTTTATGATACAGCTCTAGCATTTTGCTGTGATTGTCAAGTGATTCCTTTAATTTAGCTCCTAGAGGAGTAAAAAATCTGATACTATATGAAATAGCATTAGTGTTATATATCTAAAACTTATATATTCGGGGTATACAGCTATATGTTTTGTTGTTAAGTAATATATAAATATTATCAAGCGTCAAAATGCTGAGAAATAGCATGCGGTAAGAGTTATGTATCTACAATTAAGCTAATATTTAAATCCCGGTCTGCCATATGAGGTCTATATACGAGAGAATATGTTGCTGTTTAGAGTTATATAAACACATGGAAATTAGAGGTTATGATATATAATTGTCAAGGGATTTCTATATTTTAGTGGTAGTTTTTTAAAGTACTAAAACTCGGATAAGGTTAATAAATTTAAGCTATATAAAAGCACACCGATTGCTATGTGTTGTTAGGGTGAAACTAATTAAAGGATTAACTTTTATCAGAGATTTGTATTTTTCTACTGTGTGGATAAATACGTGTAGATTAGGATATTCATTGCGCGGGCGTCGCGGGTTATCCGTGCGGGAAGAGAGAAAGCGATTTAGACAAGACAGGAGCGCTTTGCAGCCAAAAGTTGAAAGATTTTGTATGGAATCCTGTAATGGTTGTCAAGTCGGTCATCCTAGTCAAAGACAACATGACTGCCGCATGATGAACGAAAACGAACGAGGGCAAATAAGGAATCTATTCGTCACAAAAATCATATTTTAAACATATTTTAGACATATTTTAAACTAAACAGTTCCTAATACCGAGTTGTCAACGTCGTTGTTAAGGTCAATATTTACATGTTGTTCAACGTTATTTTAGCAAATATTCTACATACATATACACTGTTAAGATGATCATAAGTAAGCTTATCAAGAATATAAGTTAGAATTGGAACAGTTGTAAGATATTTTGCAATAAAAACATGTAATCGTTATATACGTTGTTATTTGTTGCTAAGTCATTAGCGACGCTTGCGTGCATACATATATTAACGTACAACATATTTGTACACTAATCAGGCGGGCGGGTCGCGCTGGCGGAAAGAGCGGGCTTTGCCGGCAAAAATTTACACAATATTTCAGTTTTTAAATTTATTTCTTCAAAATGTTTTACAAAATTTAGTACGGTCTACTTCTAAGAGCATAACGTCTAGGAGTTTTTGTTATTTTTAAAGAGTTTTCATATTCTTGTTTATCTTCTGGGGATAACCTTGCAACATCTTCATTCTTCATTGGAATATATTTCTGCCTCTCGCGAAGTAATCTTTGTTCGTAACCTTCTCTTTGTTCAGGGGTCATCATTGCCAAATCTTGGGGCCTCCAATCTGTAGAGTCTACCCAATTGTGGAAAAAGTTGCGCTTGAGTTTTGGCCGTTCCTCTTCTGTTGGTGGTGGTGTAAGGAGATTAGGTTTAGGTGTAGCAGGCACTGGTGGTGCTATCTTGACAGATTCATTGGGTTGTGGCATCTCTGCAGGCACGAATGGAGTTGTCTGAACAGGAGCTTGAGTCGGAACATCCATCTTATTTTTGAATGTCAAAAACCGATTTAGTTGATCAGAGTATAATTTGCTTTTTTCCACTGCGCTAAGCTGTGGTGCATCCATGATTTCTTTCATTCTCTGTTCGGCATCATACATTGCGTTTGCAAGTGGTGGTTGACGACACGACTGTTTGTATAAAAACTTTGCAATCTCGCCGGGAAGTACGTTTGTCTTGAGTCGATCTTGGTCACTCGTTATCGGCTTTAAATCCAACATCAAATATCCGTGAAGCCGGCTCGTAGCATCTTCATAACTCCTCATAAACTCTTGTACTTTGCCGGGATTTATTTGCCTTGCAAGTATAGAAATTTGTTGTTTATCTCTTGGTGACTTGAATAATATTTCTCATTTCTTTGCCCTGATGAAATATATTTTGGACAATATAGATGAGAGACAAATTTCGATGATGACTTCCTTTCGTAAAAAGATCAGAAATACGTTTATCTTTGCCAGATTGAGCCATAAGATCATCCAATACGATCAAATTCCGTTGCGATACGTCCAAGTAATCCGCATTGTCGATATCTTCGGGGATGCCTTCATTAAACTCGATTCCAGGCATTATCCTCATCATATCAAAATAGGACGGTTGCCATTGACCATAACACCAAATAATACGTTGAGGAGTAGGACTCATAGTCGTTTGAGCATTCTCCAAGAGAGATTTCACCCATACGGTTTTGCCGCTTTGGGTACATCCTGCAACGATGCATGTAAAGAGATGCTGCATCACTGTAACCCCATTCACCGTGAGAGTTTGCTGCCCAAGATTACGAGTTCCATATGCATGGACAACCTTCTTGTGGCGAAGGAGATTACTCGCATTTGCAAACGTTTTACCGCAGATGTCGCATTGATAAGACATGTTTACTTCTCAAGAGTCAGTGTATTTAAAGCAAGAGTGAAGAGGTGTATTTATCCCGTTGGTTATTGTCGCGTCTATGAAGACTATTGTAAAGACCATGAAAGACTATAGTCCTGACTATGAAACACTATAGTCCTGACTATGAAAGACTATAGTCCTGACTATGAAAGACTATAGTCCTCACTATGAAAGAATATAGTCCTGACTATGAAAGACTATAGCCCTGACTATATAAAAGACTATAGTCCTGACTATGAAAGACTATAGTCCCGACTATGAAAGACTATAGTCCTAACTATGAAAGACTATAGTCCTAACTATGAAAGACTATAGTCCTGACTATGAAAGACTATAGTCTTGACTATGAAAGACTATAGTCCTGACTATGAAAGACTATTGTAAAGACTATGAAAGACTATAGTCCTGACCATGAAAGACTATAGTCTAACTATGAAAGACTATAGTCTTGACTATGAAAGACTATAGTCCTGACTATGAAAGACTATAGTCCTGACTATAAAAGACTATAGTCTAACTATGAAAGACTATAGTCCTGACTATGAAAGACTATAGTCCTGACTATGAAAGACTATAGTCCTGACTATGAAAGACTATAGTAATGACTACGAAGACTATAGTAAAAACTATGAAAGACTATAGTCCTGACTATGAAAGACTATAGTCCTGACTATGAAAGACTATAGTCATGACTACGAAGACTATAGTAAAGACTATGAAAGACTATAGTCCTGACTATGAAAGACTATAGTCCTGACTATGAAAGACTATAGTCCTGACTATGAAAGACTATAGTTATGACTACGAAGACTATAGTAAAGACTATGAAAGACTATAGTCCTGACTATGAAAGACTATAGTCCTGACTATGAAAGACTATAGTCCTGACTATGAAAGACTATAGTAAATACTATGAAAGACTATAGTAAAGACTATGAAAGACTATAGTAAAGACTATGAAGACTATTGTCTAGACCTAATCTATAGAGGGCGAGCCGATCCTTATATATGTGTTATTTCCAACTAAATCTTCATTCCGTTGCTGACCGCCGAACAGAGATGACTTGCAGTTATATGAAACACAGACCATTTGTAGAACTCTTATGTACTTCTCATCCAACTCAACAGCAAGCTCTTCTTAATTCTACATCAGCTGAGCAAATTCGATGCTTGTGTCATTGTATAGAAAATTTCACATACTCTAAAGAAACAAAGGACAAACTCAGACCTTTCGAACAAGATCTAGCTGATTTAGCAGACGGAGATAGAAATTTTAAGACGAAAAAGGAAATTCTTGTTCAGCGGGGAAGCGGCTTTCTGGGATTGGTACTTGGACCACTTTTAGAAGGCCTTGCAGAATTAATATAAAATAAAAAGTATGAAGGACATCTCCTCATTCCAATCAAGGATAGCGACAAACGATCATCTCCTGAACAGTGGAGACTTGAAGACATTCTCAAATATCTTGACGTTGATGATGAACACGAAGCAGAAGAAATCCTTCATTCTATTTTAACATCTACGGGGATTTTGACTTGGAATGGAAAAGGAGAAATCGTTTACAGAGGACATAATATACGAGGCACTAACATTGTAGACCTTCTGAAATATTGCGTGACGCCTTATCATCCAGATATTCCCGAACCAACTGGATTGAGTATTTTTATAAAAGGTCTTGCAGAATTGGAAATTGATAAAAGCCTAATCTTCAATGGACATGTCCTTTCTGTGTTAGCCCACAAGTGGTCCCGTCAGGATACACAATCTGATGCTGACGCAACTTGTAACAGTTGTAACAAAGTAATATACATCTCCCATTTGAGTACGTGCCCCGTATGCACA